TCATTATTCCATCGGCTGAACGAAGAATGTGATTTTTTTTTTCAAAGTAGGTAGCATGTGCCTGATTTGAGCTGCCTCTATAAGCTGCTTTGCAGGAGCCATCCTGTCTCTTCTGGTGGGTGTTGGAGACACTGTTTTATTCCCTTTGTGCACTTCTTGTGGCAGTGGGCTGGTCAGTCATGGGTTCTACCAGAGCAGAGGGTTTGGAGGAAGGAGCTCAATGAGTATAGCTGGACTGTGAGCTAACTTCAGGTTCGAGGGTTCATGGCAGTCTGGTTTTGAATTTGTAACCTGTTCAGGGTTTTTGCCTCTAAACACTGTTGTTATTAGTCCATTAACTCTGAGGTCTTAAAAAGTTTATCTTTTCCCAGGCACGGCACAACCTCTCCTGAAAATACAGTACTCATGGAGAGAACTGTGTGGCTCCTCAGTGATGTTTCAGGGAAAGGTTTTAGCAAACCTTCCTCGGCATTAAAACCAGGAAGTGGACACCTGATGTGCAGTAACCTTTGACACTGATGTGCTCATCTGTTGCTGGGAATGTTGTCTTGGCTGAAATATCTGATGTGCAGCCAAACACAAAACAGGTTTGGGAACAGCCAAACACAAAATATTAGCAACGTGCACTGAGGAAGATCAGTGCTGACTGCAGTAACACCTCAAGATACACAGATGCACACAGAGCTTGGCAATACCACTAAAGCATCAGCAGCTTGGATTTCAGTTTGTAACCATCCCCAGTACAATGCAGAGAAAGTTTTAGTTGGATGCAAAACCAATTCAATGCTTCAAAGTCCTGTCTTCTTTTTTTCCTGAAGCAGACTCGGACAAGTTGTGGTGATGTGCTTGTGATGGAAACACTCTGGTGCTATGATCACTCTCAGTAACTTGCCAGTATCACTCTGTTCCAAAATAAATGGGCTGCTTTAAATCATTCTGAAGTTGCTCATAGGAGATAGAATTGTCCCATCTTTCTGGGACATTAAACATTATAATCATGACTACATGATTATAAACATGAGTGAATTTCTTTATAGTTTATTAATGGTATCCTGGACTTCCACTAAGCAACTTAAAACCGAAACCAAATGCAAACTAAGTAACAAGAAGATTTGTTTGAATATTACTGATGACTTGTCTTCATTCATAAGGGGAGAAAACTTCAAGTCTGAAGAGCATTTGCATAGTGGGTGTTTTTAGGATAACCTACAGCAATTTTTTAGAATTGTATTTTCAAGAAATTAAAAAAAAAATCTAATCTGGAAAGTTAATACTTGAGTATCTGAGTTTGAAATTAAATTGTGTATTTACTGCTAGCAAAGTGTATAAGGCTTGCTTCCATAATCAGTTCAGGCAGCTTTTACACTGCCTCTCCTCCAGTGGAAGCATATTCAAGTATGCCTTTGTTTCAGCAGCATTTTGTTGAGCTTTTGTTTCGTGTGAGTTACACAAAGCTTAGAAACAGTCTTTTGTACTTTTTAAAAGGGAATGAGTCTGAAATAGTTTTTTGATTAGTAGAGTATGTTATGTATCATTGTACTTTGAAGTAGGAAAGTGTTTATGTTCTAGGAAATGCATCTTTAAAACCATTTTGTCTCCCATAATTGTGCTACTTAAGCAAATCATCTTTTAAAGAGAAAAAATAGGTGAGAATGTGTGTTTGGGGTTTTGAGTTGAATTGTAGTAGCAGATGTATGCCCACTGAAATATTTTAGGTAACTGCATTCTACTTGCCAGTGGGGACCAGGCTGTGGCTGTAAGCAGGATGTTTCACTGTCACTGTGATTTCAGAGACATGGGTGGCTTTCATATCTTGGCTTTTATTGTTAGGCTGTTTTGGAGTCTCTTTCATTTACCAGAATGTTTTAGGGTGTTGCATAGCATTTGCACACCTTTGTTTTCTGGAGGAAATTTATTCTCTAGGGCATCTGTTAGTGAGATCTTATCAAAATAGACACCTTGTGCTTTATGAGAACAATTTGTCCTTTTAACTACAGGGGTATGATACAGAGCAGTAGGTGTGTTATGGAGAGACTGCCTTTGAAAAGATGAAAAACATGTTGAAAGGAGGTAAAAACGTCACTTGACTTGCTGGTGAAACACTGAAGCACAATGGTCTGTTACCAATCAGTTAGGCTCATTAACAGTGAAGGGAGAAGAAAAATGTGTTTCCATGGAATATAATGACTGCTGGGCTGATAAATATTTTCTCCCTCCAAACACTTCTGGTTTTACAAAACAAGCAGTGTTACACCGCCCACATACCCATGAAGCTTAAAGTCCTGAATGCCGAATTTGCCTTCTTTGTTTCATTCCAATTACTTTAAAGAAAATGTCAATCTATGTGCAACTCACTTTGTGTTTACTGCTGATGACTGAAACCAGTCATGTTTATAATCTTTTTGGGTCTTAGCTTCCCACATATGAAACACAAGAAAGAACTTCCAAGCTCTATCTGTGTGTAAAAAGACAATTATAATCTGTAAAATTCTGTAATAACTGATTTTTCTTTCTTCATATTAGGATATTTGCCTGTAGCCTTCTGTCTCAAAGCATGGTCCTGTACTATTTAATAAAATGAGAATGAACTAATAAATTACTGGAGGTTTTTAAAGAGACCTTCATTTTTGGAGTACAAATCTGCTGTCACCTGGACAACATTGAGGGGAAATGGATGCTTGTTGCCTATCTAAATCAGTTTTCATTAATACATGAGAATAACGAATTTGTTTTATTTTTGGCAGGGAAAGCAAAATCCAGTAAAAAAAAAACCAAACAGTCTGAGTGGTTGAATTCACTATCTTATTTCCAGCCCTCTCTTTTCTTTCTTCAAAAAGGATCAAGTTGTAAAAAAATAATTAGGGATTAAGATTTGTTTGCAAAATAATATTAGCCTGCACTTACAGCAGTAGTATTCAGTGGCTTGGTTTCTCCATTTTACTTTGTGGAAGTAGAATTCATGTGTTTTGCATATAGCAGGTATATGAAGATGTAGACTAAAGAACATTCCTAGTTGTTCCATTCCATCTTTTGCTATTGATACAACCAAATCATGAAACTGCTTTCATAAAGATAATGCTATCCACACTACTGTGTAGACCTGCTGAAAATTCTTTGCCAGAATTGTTCTGTTGTTTCTATTTTACTTTGTAGTAGTGTAGATCAATGATGTTAAAGTCTATATTTTATTGGGTTACAGGTATTAAACAGGTACTGAATTTTCCTTACAGCTGTATGGCAGCATGAGGAAAAGCCTCCTGCCATAGGAGAAGGCAGACAGGGAGCAGGAGTGCCCTGTAGCTGTGTTCCCAGCTGAACTGCAGGAGGCATAGGGATGGAAAATCTACTGATGTTCATCACCTTTGCATACAGGAGGCTGCCACTGCAGCTGAGTCTATGCCTAAAGTGATGGAGGGATTGTCAGCACAAGCTGACAATTTGAAATCTGTCTGTTGCTTTGGGAGAATAGTCTTTTACTGGTTTTACAGAGTTTGGCAGGCTGAGTTTGAGAAGCTGTTCTTTAGGATTAGGGATCAGGGTCAAACAAGAATGAGATGTTTTCTTGGAAGAAGTTAAATGCTTCACTATACCCATGTTTATTTTTAGAGTGAAATTGCTTTATGACTTCCTAATGAGCTTGAAAGTTGACAAGGATTTAAGCTGTGTCATGAAATACCCTGAACACTGAGAGATGGCACTCTAGCTAGTCTGAAGTACAACTATCCAAGCCACTAGCAGACAATTTCACCTAGTGTACTGTTTATCTGTCTGATTAGAATTGCTGTCCCCCTAGTTAATATTCACAGAAAGCAAAGTTTCTGTTTAAGGGCACCCTGTGTTTCCTTATTCAAGACGAGTATGAAGAAAGATCAGGAGATATCCTGCCTTGCATTTTGAATTGTCAGGAGGAAAGGGAGCCACTGCTATGTTCTGATTGTTTGTGCTGCTTTCCCATTGATCAACTAAATTGGCAATCAGCTCCACTGTCCTGAGCAATGTGGTTCAGAATAACCAGAAATATGGGCTATTTACCAGCAAATAGCAATATCACTGAGTGTCAGTGCAGTTCAAAATGTGGTTTAACAGCAAATTTCGTGCAGGAAAAGGCCAATCATGCCTTCCTTCTACAGTACAAATAATCCTGTGATGGGGTTATCATCTTTTCAAGACTCACAAAAAGGTCTACACTGTTTTCAAGTGAGATGCTTGCATACTGTCATTTCCATTTCCTAGTGTTTTCAGCCGTCCTAAAACTGAGAGAATTGAAGAATCCCAAGGGACGACCTTCTTTGGCAGATGAAGATGAATCAGTGTGTCCAGCATGAACAGTCTTGTCCTATTTCCTTGTCTTTTCCCACCTTAGATCCAATAGAAATTGTGACATCTGGGTTGCTGGTAGCAGCAGTGTATCTCTGTGTGTGTGTGTGTGTGAGAATGTAACCATTCTGCATTTAAAAAAGAAAATGGAAACTTAAAGAACTGTTAAATCTGAATCAAATACATGTTAAAACGTGAAGGTCGCCATGTGCTTCTGATTGCCCCACCAGAAGCTTCTTGAAAATTGGTTTTGTTAGTTTGTTTTCTCCAATGAAGTTCCTTATTTGTTTGGCATCAGGCTACTTTTTGCCATTGGATTTGTATCACTTTAAGAAAATGCAGAAGTGAGATTTAAAGAAATCTTCAAAGAAAGACAAAGGTTGCTTTGAAAAATCACTTCTAAAATTCAGTGTACATAATTTAGGTACGTAAGCAACCTTGACACAACTTTTCATGTATAACTTCTGAACGAGAAAGGTGGAGTATTTTGGATGCAAATAAGTAATGAACATTTTGGGATAACTGAACTATAATCACTTTGTGAATCAGCAATTTCTTAAAAGGTCAGTTAAGTGTTGTGCTTTCTATTGGTACCATTCAACAAATGAAACATTTTATTTAATGAATAATGAAGAGAGGAGTGACTTAATAGTTTTTTTTTTAAACTCAGGTCATGCGATGAGATGGTCACTGAAGGTCTAAGTACTCTTGTTTGTTTTCTTAGTAGTTCACTTTATTGAAGACTGTTGTTGATCATTAATTCTTCTTTATGATGCTGAAGGTAGGCTTGGTCCCATGCTCTTATAAGTCCTTAAAGGCTTCCACTATTTTCAGCAGCCTCTGCCTGCTCTTTGTGTCACCAGCAATGCCCATTAACTGGCAAAGTGTCTCTGTGTGACTGAAGGTACTTCTAAAGGTAAAAAAGGGAAATGCAGTATTTGCAAGAATCTAAAATACCTTGCAGAACTTGCCAGGCAGTTCCTGCACTTACATACCTCAATTGCTTTCTTAAAATCTATTCATTTCCTTTTTAAAATGTCCTCTTTCCCTCAGGACTCTATTAAGTGGCTTCCCAAGTCTCCTAAACTGTACAGTGGCCATAACTGGAGCTCCCAGGGCTCTCGCTGGGCCTCATTGAAAGGGAAGGAAGGTTTTCATGGTGGCAACCTGTACAAGTTCAGCTCTGCTAATGGAAAATGGAGAGAAGGAAGGATCAGTCCTGAGCAAGAAGCAGAGGAACTCGAGGATCCTGATGATGTAAGTAGTCTTGAAACTGGGAGAGACAATGTGTGTCTATGAAGAGGCTGTAGCTGCTCACACTGCTGTGCAGCACAGCACTTTGGGTTTGTGGGACCTGCACTGCTTATACTCTCATGTCCTTGCTTGTGCAGAGGGTACAGAGCTATGTTCAATGTTTTATTCCTTCACTTGTCTTGCAATTAATTCATCCAACCCTCAAGAGTACAGTTTGACCTGCAGGTTAAGATGAGTGACCTGAGCAGTGATGAGACACGTTTTTTACTTTACTCCTGCTTACATCCCCAGTTACCAAGCTCCCTCCATCTCTTTTCAGGTACGTAGGTTGCTGGCAGCACTTGGGGCTCAGCATCTCCCTAGGCCTGGATGGTAGAAAAGTGAGGTTGCAGTGCTTCTCCACTGCATGTTCATTTTGGGTGCTGCTCTTCCAGGATGCTGATGTCCGTGAGCCCCTGCCTGCTGTAATTTCTCCAGCCTGTGCCTGCCAGGTGTCTGTCACCCGTGTGCAGCCTGGCTGTCCTTTTGGTCCTAGCCTGGGAAAAGGAGGAGGTGGTGATTGCACCCGTGCAGCCTTTCCCTTTCAGGGCATTGCTCGCCATTCTTCCTGATGTTAGCTGGAAGATGAGGCAGGAATTGGGGCTCCTGCTCCTCTTCCAGGACTTTGCTTCCTTCCTAGCCCCTGTGAGTGCTGCTGCCCCCTCCTCCAGCCCACAGTCCTGGCTCTTTCCCATGGCCTTCTTCCCTGGCACCCACAGCACTGCAGACGTGTCCAGGTTAGTCAGCCTGGCACTGTAAAGAGAAATCTCTCTCAAGAGAAGAAAGGTAATAAATGCTTTATGTGAGTCAAAGCTAAGCAAATTCCCTTTTAAGTGAAAATGGGAAGCAATCATGCCTTTTATGCTTTCCCTGGGGTTGGCAATACTTCTTTCTATCCCAACCAAAAAGAGATTGTGGGAAAGTGCCAATATAGATTGAAAAATAAACTGTCCAGTGGGGTTCTGCACAGCTGTTCAAGGTAATGCCACTGCTTTTTATTTTGGTATTAAACTTCCAAGCTTAGAAAAACCCTTATGGGGTTTATTTTCAGAGGTGTTGATGTGTGTTTGCTGCATCATTTTGCTGCCAACAGAAGATAGAAGGATTTGGGAAATATGAAGATTTGATTTGACATGAACCCATCAAATTAAGGAGCAAAAATCAGCTAAATATAAGTAAAACATTCCTAAAATGAGAACAGAATTTGAGCATTGTGTCTGAATTTAATTTAACCCTTTGCCAGGAACAACTGATAGCTGGAAAACATCACTACATTTTGCAGTCAAATTGTCTCAAACTTTAATTGTTTGGTGGATGTATTTTAATTGTGTATTTCTCTCTTCAAGCCCTTGTGGTTTAGCCAAGCATAGGGTGACATTGTGAGCTCCTCACTGCATCTCAGAGTAGGTTCACCCTAGGGCCAGGCTTCAGAGTAGGCTTTAGTAGGCATCACCTTTGAGGTTAAATTTCCAGAGGACTCCTAAATCATTGAAGTTTGCAGGTCTCCACTGACTGCCATTTGCAAATGAAGTCAATCCAATGACTGACACAAAGTCTTAGATGTGTAGATGCAAGGTAAGGGCTTGCCTTCCCTCTCCCACCTATGCTCCCAAGAATGGCATGTGAGTTTTGAGGCACTGTAAGAAACATTTTATTTTCTATATGGAAATACCTTTCCTTTGCATTGTGTGTGTGGTTCCTTCCCCCAGAACCGTGGATTCAGTGCTACAGAGCTGCCAGAGGCTGCCCAAAATAGTCTTGTTCTCTTGCTCTGCCATTTTCACATGGCATTGCAGGATTTATTCACATATCTGTGTGTTACATGTGCTTGTGTGTGCCAAAGAATCTAGTGAAAGGCTATACAAAATCCCAGTCCTCTCCCTGTTCCCTCAATTTCAACCCCAGGTTTGAAGGCAAAACATGCCCAGAGAAATAATGGTGAAAGAAATCTTTCTATGTCTGCTGTAAAGTTTCAGTTTTCTCTTCAATGAAATAAATTCTATCAACAGCAATGTGAGAGTGAGGAATGAGTTCACGTTAGCATGGGTAAGGTCTGTGTTTCAGATTCTCCTTGCTGTTGCTGTGTTTACCTTTTTTATCTTTAACCCCCAGGAACCTATTTCCAAGTTTTCCGGCAGCCTTTTTGATAGCAACGAAAGCACGCGAGATCAAAGAAATACCAGAACAACGCCTCAAGAAAGGCACAAGCTGGCAATGAAAGGGAAGGCTCTTCCAGGATCTCACCCCAGGGTGCAGCCACCTGTGTCAGCAGCAGGCAGCTTCCCCGGCGAGAGCGGCCGGCCCGCGGAGGAGCTGCGGGTGCTGGATGCGCCGCAGCCCCCGCTGAAGGTTGGAACTGCTGCAGGGGCTGGGCTTGCTGCTGCTGGGGGCTCTGCATGGCCGTGGGGCACTCCCTGTGTCTGTGGGGAACTCCTCTGGGGTGAAGCAGTTTATGAAAGATGCAAGGAAGGCGGTACAGTGCATGGCAGATGTCATGAGGCTTGCCTTAAAGAGGGTAAGGGCTCCCCGTGGCTTACATGGAAAAAGGATTTCCCATTAAAAAACCCCATTAAAGCCCATTTTCCTTGTAGCCATGCACCTCACTTCATATATCCAGCAGTGGTATCGTGAGGCCAAGTCAAAGGTATGTGCAGGTGGGCACTGAGCTGAGTCTTTGTTCAGTCCATAACCCTTGCATGTGCCAGTGTTGAAGTGTAGCACCATTTTTCACAGGGCTGGGCTCTCCAGGGACATGTCTGCTGATGTTCAGAGTGGGAGGTAGATTTTCAATGTTCACATAATTAATGGCAATAATTTTTGCCTATTAATCAGGTCACTTATCCGTTATAATTCTTTTCCAGGTAACCATTACTGTGTGCAGCCAAATGGGGAGTCTTGGTATTAGCATTGCTGGTGGAAAGGGCTCATCTTCATGTAAAGAAAGCGATGAGGTGCATTTCATTATTAAAAATTTATCTAGTTAGAAATAGACTGATGAGTAGTTCCTTGAGTTACTGTGTTTTGTTGTTTGCTTTCTGAGATTGTCCTTCATGTAACATTTCAATCTTTCTAAAGCTAACAAGGGTAAACATAGGTAGCTTATTTCCCAGAGTAGGTTCTGGGAATCTGGCAGATTTTGATGGAGAGCTCCAAGTTAGAGATAGACTGATGACTAGTTCCTTGAGTTACTGTGTTTTGTTGTTTGCTTTCTGAGATTGTGCTTCACGTAACATTTCCATCTTTCTAAAGCTAACAAGGGTAAACATAGGTAGCTTATTTCCCAGAGCAGGTTCTGGCATTAGATCCGGAAGGGATGATTTGGGAGAGACACCCAAATGTAAACCAATGATTTTGCAAAGGCAACCTGATGGCTGAAACACTGTTGTCTAATTCTCATTTTCTGCCTCATTTTGGGGTTACTCTCTTGGCAATCCACATGCCTCTCCCATCTCATTTGCTCATTCCCAGGAGCTAACCTGATTTGAGAGAAATATTTCACACATCTTCTCACTGATTTATCTTTTAAATAAATCTTTGTTTTCCAGTCTGTTCCCCATGGCACAGTGTAAACAATTACTGACTTTTGTTTATTGTTGTATGTGTAAGCCATGGAGGTTGTTTTTTTTTTTCTTGTCTTGCTAATGTGCTAAGGCATCTAGTTTTTAATTTTATGGGGTTGTTTTTTTTTTTTTTTTTGTCTTGCTAATGTGCCAAGGTATCTAGTTTTTAATTTTACGGAGGCAACAAAACAATAAAACAATAAGTCTTGAAAATTAATTACTTCCCATTTGCTTTTTATGTCAATGGGAGAACAATGTGAGAAACTGTCACTTCTGAAACCTATATTTTGTTTTACCAGGGGATCCTGATTGCTCGGCTGCCAAAAGATGGTCCAGCAGACTTGGCTGGTGTACAAGCAGGAGACAGAGTGGCTGAGGTAGATGGGTTGTTTGTCACTGTGGGGTGTGTTCTCTTGTTGCTGTCTTTAAATCAAACCACTTAGAGTTGGGGAACTTGACATCCAGATCTAGGCTGGCCTTAGCTTTTTAGATCCTTCCATTATGAAGAAATGATAATAACATTAAATTGTTGTATTCCTTCTTATTATGTTCTAGTTGTCAGATCTTTATGTTCAAAGTGCTTAACAAAATATTATTCACTTAAATGAACAATTTATAAAGGAAAATAATGGTCTTAAGTGGTTATGTAAGTATAAATGACGTGTTTCATCCAAGAACCTTTCTTGTGACATAGATTTACTAGATGAGTTTATTGCAGTTGCAACAAAGAAATATAAACCAGATGAGCTTGTTTCCCCAAGGTAATTTTTGGTGGGAAGAGAAAAGCTCAAAATAACTCCCCTGATGGAGGCTTGTAGTGCCAAGGGATAACTTGCCCCTCAGGCTGCTCCACCTCAAGCCTCATCTTTCCTAGCAGAAGCCACATTCCTGAGCTTCAGAATTTCCAAGAATAATGGGGAAAAATAGTCACATACAGTTTTGTGTTACATACTTTTGATGTACCGTTTGGTTTCTCCCTGCTGAGAATGGTGGACTAGGAAGAGAACCTCTACAGAATGACTTTAAAGTGTAACTGGTCCATATTTGTTTCAGCTCTTGTTCTCTTAAACTGTCATTTATACTTGGTTAGATTAATAGTTTTTACTCCAGCATGGTCCATGTTGAATTAAGGTGGGATAGAGCAAGCAATATTGTATGTCTGTTAAATCGTCAGGAATAATGATACAACCTGTATCAGCCAAAGACTTTAATGATAAATTAATCTACTAATTTTGTAAAACTATGCTATAGAATTATTGATAGAGGGTGGTGTTCCATTATGTCCAAATATTGTGTTTCTTTGGCAGTTCTTAAAATGTTAATTGTAGATAAAAATCGATGTAATTCTACATTTTTTCTTTTATGAAAGACAAATGTAACAAATTAGAGAGAATGTAATAATTCTCTACATATTTCACATTATCATATAATGTGGGAAAAATCACAGGATTTTTAGTTGCTGTACCTTTACCTTCTGAGCAGAGTTTCTGATCAAGTTAATATCTTAAAAATCAGCCCCATTGCTCAGGTTCTTCCATGAGGCTGTAATTAATTATTTATCTGGGGGACTATTTGGAATGTACTAGGTGTTAATGTCTGTCCACTTAGTCAATAGTGAAACAAGTGGAAAAAAAATAATTCTGTTACATCCTGTTCTGCCCTGCTGTTATTGTACAAATAGTTAGGATTTCTCCATCTCCCACAAGATGGCAGAATCATTCATCTTTAAAGAATATAGAAAACAACTCTGCTTTTTGTGTGTATGTGTGACGAGAAGGAACTAATGAGGTGTGCTATAGAAATACTGCAGTTTTTACCACAGGACTAACCTGTGTACAAATAACAAGCATTTTTCTCTTGACACTTTGTGTTACAACTTCTTATTATTGTACTGGTAATTTCAACAGTTCAAATATAAAATTCACCAAAAATGGGAAACAGCAGGAATTGCAATTTTATTTGCTTTTGTTGTACAACCACATGTAGCAATAGGGCCAGGTGTTTGTATACTAACTTGAGAGGGGGGGAACTCCTCTTCTTAATCAGCATTCAGAATAAAAATATGTTTCTGGTGTTTTCTTTTAAAGGCAACCTTTGTTTCAGAATCTGCTGCCCTTGATGCTGGTCCTACTGAAGCTTCCCCCAAGGGCAGCCCCTCCCCGACAGTCAACCATGTCATCACAGTAAGTGGGATGCCCCCAGTAAACAACAAGTCACTCTTGCCTAAGAAATTTGTGTTGTCTTAATGTTTGTGTTGTCTTTATATTAATGGTAGTGAAGACTGGCACAGAACTCAACACATCAAAGATCAGAGACCTTACCAAGCATTTAGGTGGCTGTCACTGCAGCTGGGACATGGCTTCTGGAGGAGGTCAGCTCCTGGGTGAGCACCCACATAGCAGAGCAGAGCTTTTGGAGCACTCTGGTTTGGGGGCTTTAGGGTGGTGTAGATGCCCCCAGTCTGAGTCATCATTCTGTCGTCTGGACTCTGTCTCTGGCTAATGCAAGGAGCAGCATCTCCAGGGTCTCTCTTTTAGGAGGGAGAGGGTGAACTGCTTCCTGGAGGTGGTGACCATTTTCATCTTCTGACTGGAGGGGGAAGTTGTGTCACAGGCTAAGTCATTGCCTGTATTTTAGGTGACTGGTGAGAGAAAACCTACTGCACGAGTCACAGGAGGCAACAGCTGAGCCTGCAGGGTGGCCTTTAGAAATGCACTTTTTTGAACTTTTGAACTCCCAGTATGGCTTTACTAGGAAGATATAATAAGATCAAGGTATCTGAATAATTAAGGTCAAAAAGCATGTTACTTGTGTGGAGCTTGAAGTACCAGGAAGCAACAACTGTTTCTCTTACAGCAAATGCCAGAGGAATGATTTGTTTGATTCCTCTTCTTTCAGTCTTTGTCTAAATCTTTCTCTGTGAATACAATTCACAACCCAGGTAATGGCAAAAAATGGAAGTATATATTATATAAAAGACTGTAATAAATGACCATATCAGTTTTTGTTAACCCTTTAGATAATTAACCTGATTTGTTAGTTGACTGAAAAAGTGAGCAAATGGATCATGAAATGCTTTTCTCTGGTTTCCTGTGTTAGTCACTTTTTGCCATATTGAGCTATAGCTTGTGTCCATGAGATAAACTAAGAAAGGTTTTCCCTTCTATTAGTTGCTTAAAGAAACTTATTTTGAGGTCTCTGGCCTTCAATACCATCTTGTAGATCATCATTTAGACCAGCTTTATTTTCCAGCTTAAAACACTTCCATCAATTTGGGGTTTTTTTGTCTTATTGTACCTGGTAGCTATTTCTTAGTCTTCATCAGCATTGCAGGAAGCATGAGGCTTCCTGTTAGAGGAACCACTGTTGGAAGGGTTTATTCATACACTGGCAGTGGCCTGGATCTGTTGCAGTAGTATCTCACTTTTAGTATTTTCATCCAAAAAGGAGAAATTACTGTATTTTTATGTTGTATGCCTCCCTTTAAAGTTCTTCATGTGTAGTGGGGGAGGAGGCAGATTAGACTGAGATACTTAGAGCAGAGTACTCAGAGGGAGTCATGTGTTCCAAGTGTCAGAATTAACCAATGTGCAAGTTCTTTGGTGAAGAAACATTTGTATTTCTGGTTTTGTTTCTTTTTGGAAATCAAAATCTTGGTGCTGTAGCAAATGATACATGTTATTGCCTGTAACCTGGAGCAGCATTCATCAATTTTAGGGATATGGGCTTGTGAGGAGTATCCTGCTGACTTGGGGTCGTTCAATTTCTCATCTGTTCTCACCTCGAAGTCTCTCTTATTCCTCAATAACTGAAGGAAATCTTATTATCTGAAAAATGTTTAGAGCCTGGCTTCTCATGGAGGACTTGCTTTGCATGTTCAGATAAGCAGGTGGCAGTAGGGCCTTAATGCAGAATCTTCTTCTGTGTTAGGAATATAGGAAGGTTCATTTCCTTTGTATTTCTGATCAGGTTTCAATAGAAGATGGTTGTGTCTACATCAAGGGAGGGAAGGATTGAAGCATAATGGCAGAGAAACCAGAGACTCCTATTACTATTCTATGAAAACTGTGTGCCAGATGGTGTCATCTTTCTTCTCCCTTTCTTCCATGTCATCATCCTGCCTTCCAGCACATACTGTCTTCATCTGTTTATTTTTATTGAATTTTAATAAACATCCTCTTTGCATATGCTGTCTGTGATAATATTTGCCTCATTCTTGCTAGCCACAGCCCTCCCCATCTCTGAGCCAGCTGCTCTGGCATTACACAGGCAATGCTGCTGCCAGGCTCAGGTTTCCTCTATTTTCCACAGGCTTGGTTGCTCTAACTGCTTCTAAAAGGCTCATGCAATTGTTAACTCATCCAGCCAAACTCAATTTCAAACCCTTTGTGTCAGCTTTCAGATTTCATGACAGTGTGAATGACCAGTAATTAATTGGACAAACTAAATGTTCTTTCACAGTGAGTCATTGTTTTGCAAAGGAAAAATGAGAATCTTCCTTGGTTTTAATTATAATTGAGTATTTTGCTGACATGTGGATAGAGGGCTCAGAACTTTAATTACAAGTAGATAGTTTTTACACGCAGTATTTTATAGACTTGCCTCACACTAATCACGCCTCAAAATTATGATAATATATTTTACTTTATCTAATATATATATAAAAAATACAAATATTTGAATTGAACCTAAAAAAATAAATCAGGAATATAAAGAAATGTCCATACTGACTTTAACAGAAGAAACTTTAGCTTGGATTCTGGAGTCTTCATTTCCAGTTTTGTTATTGTTTCCTATCCATCCTCTCACAAATGGAACCAACTCTTCGCAATCTTTCTCCATCATAAATATTTTCATTCAGCCTCTGACTGAAATTTCCAGAGGATTTTGTCTGACTGAATAGAGAGTGTTGACAGGTTTCAGCATCTTCTGTCCTTTCATAACATGCATCATCATGCCATCTTCTTTGACTCATTTTTGGGGCTATTAACATAATAAGAATATTAGGTAGTTTGTAATTATTATCAAGTTTTCATGATATTTTAATCTAGTATTTAACTTAAATTGTTAGCATATTATTTGATTTAATTTTATGCCTTTGCCCTGGGAATTTCCTTAATTGTATTTTTTCATTTAGTTCACCGGGGTACAAGTGTCACTGATACTTTTCAAGGAAGGTTAAAGTAAGAATTACCAATTAAAAGTGATTGTGTGAATAACTAAATAAATAAATAACAAGTGAAGCTTACAGTACTGAAAAAATCTGAAGAACTTCTTTAGAAGGCTAAAAATGCCAAATTTTTTGGCTGCTGTTAAAAATCCAGAGATACCAAACATTCCTAAATCTGCTGAGAAAACAGAGAAGTGTACTAGAACCTGTGGTATGTTTCAAAATGAAATCCTCTTGTTCCTGCAGAAGGTGCATAAGCAGGTACACATCTCCCACAGTATGCAGGTGCTGCTCTTCTGCCTTTGTCTCATATTGTTCATATGCAAGTCGTGAGAAATCTTACATGGGTGAGAATCCCAGCAGTTCTACCTTCTTCATTTCCAGCTGATAAAGACTTTCCAAGAAAAAACCTTGATCCACTTACATTAGTTAAAAATCTTCAAATATCTAATTATCAAAACCTTTCTTTATTCATCTGAGCATGTTCTAAACATATCAGAAAACTGAAATCATACAACATAAAATAAAACATTTGTTTCTTTAATCATTGTCTTACTTTGTTGAATTTTAAAAGCAAAGCCAGTGGAGTACTCAGGTCAGAGAAGCAGTATAAAAGGAGAAAACTAAAGTCAGATTCAGAATGTCCTTATCATGAGCAAAGCCAGGTTTCTTCTTAAGCTTGTTTCAAACAGTAAAGACCTTGCTCACATCACAGTGTTTGACTGACCTATAGCACTATAAGGTCTACTACTTCAAGTTTCTTATGAAGAACTGCTTTATCCCTTCTCCAAAACATTTTCATGACTCTTTTAATCTTGTTAGGTAAGGGTGTTGGTGTTTTTATGTTATTCTTTTTTTCTATTCTGACAAGCTAAGTTTGTTTAAGAAGTCAGGAATCTAACTCTCCACTGCCTTGCATCTTGTGCAGGTTTACAAGTGTTTCTAAAGAAGCCTGTGAGCCTTGTTGGGTTAGGTAACCTCAGTCATCATGTGAGCTCCAGTGGAGTGTGAGCACCCCTGATTGCCTCCTCCATTTCATCTCCTAGTTTGCTTCTGCTTTTATCTAAGCAACTGAGTGTTTCTGAGTCACCATGAAAGATGGAACATAAAAGGTGTGTGTTGTAGACACTGTGTTTGTCTCCATAGTGTAGTGGGTAGGGAACTTATTTTGTGAATTTGAAATTAAGTTCCTGCTCCCAACAAATGCTTCTGTTTGCACAGTGTATCTTTTTTCTCTCCTCCTTTTAAGTAGTTTTCTCACACACTCAGCCAAAACTAACTAATTTTAAACTTTAAGTTCTTGGATTTTGCAAAGCTTGTAATTAACGATGCTAAATAGGAAAAACCTTTTAAAAAGACAGGACATTAATTGATCTTTTCAAGTTACCATATTAAAATACATCCAAGTTAGAGAAAATCTACAAAGTGAGCCCATCATATGGTAGACAGTATAAGCACTGCAGACAATATAAGCAAAAACATACAAAAGACAGACTCAAGCAAGGCACCTTGAACTGTGCTGTAGGATAGCATATTATTTTTGAATAAAAGAGGATAAGTATGTAAAGAACTGCACAAATAATAAACAATGTCCTCCCTTGTGAAAGGCATCCTCATGGACTCTGGGAGTACTGCAGGGGAAGAGACTGCACTGTGTTCCTGCAGGCTTTCAGACAGCCACTGCCTTCCACAGGGGTGATGAGTTTTCTTCAAAAAATCAAAGGGTTGGCAACTTGGGTAGCTCTGCTTGTGGGGGCAATGCCTTTTAAGTCTCCTGATGTGGTCAGAGCAATGCATTTTCTTTGATGTTTTCATAGCATCAGGCCATAAATGATTACACACTTATATGAAAGCACTTATATGAAAATCTGTAAGTCAGGTTCCAGTGTCAGGGAAGTCACTACCCAGTGGTACAGTAGAAGATGAAAGAAATGGACCAAGGACAATTTTTCATACACAATTTGAATAATATAAAAGCCTTTTGTGCATGACAGCATTGCAGATATGACATTA